CTAGATCCCACATGCATGCTGCAACCAAGAGTTCGCATGCCACAACTAAGGAGCCTGCGTGCTGCAACTAAGAAGCCTGCGTACTGCAATTAAGGAGCCAGCGAGCTGCAACTAAGGAGGCCGCCTGCTGCAACTAAGACCCGGCACAACCAAATAAATAAAAAAAAAATAAAAGCTAAGACCTGAAGGACTGGCCTGGTTGGGTGTGGAGTTAAGAAACTTTTCAAAGTAAGAGAAAAGCATGTGTGTAGGCCTAGGATTAGGAAAAACAGGCAGGGTCCATTCAAGGAACTGAAAAAAGCTCAACATGGCTAGAGTAGGGAGGGAAGCAAAAAAGGCCAGAAAGCAAGCTGATGCCTGATAGGGAGACTTACTAAAGGGCATGTCTTCTACTTTGCCCACTGTAACTATAAAATTGCATACATCCCTCAGCCTTCTAGACCAGTGAACTCTTCCCCAATACACTGATGATTTCAAAATACCTTAGTCCAGAACTATCCTATGGGTGCCAGACCATTTATCTGACTACATGCCATACATTACTATCTGGACCCAGAAATCAAGGGCCATATCCTAGAGATGACAGAGTAAGAAGCTGGAAAAGAGGCTGGGTCCCTCATGACAGCAGAGCCACCATACCAGCCCTGAATTGTCTACCTCTGGACTTCTCTTACATGAGAAACAAACTAACAACATGTTCAAGCTAGCAACGGTATGTTACTCAAAGACAAACCTAATCTTAACTGACACAGGAGGCTTTGAAAGTATTGTAAGGTGGAGGGTTGCAAAAGGTATTTTGAAGGAATAATTGTCAAGATTCAGTGATTGACTTCAGGACTTCCCTGGTGGTCCAGTGGTTAAGACTCCGTGCTCCCAATGCAGGGCGCCTGGGTTTGATCCCTTGTCAGGGAACTAGATCCCACATGCATGCCGCAACTAAGAGCCTGCATGCCGCAACTAAAGATCCCACATGCCACAACAAAGATCCCGAGGGCCACAACCAACTAAGACCTGGCAGAGTCAAATAAATAAATAAATAAATATTTTTAAAAAAAGATTCAGTGATTGACTCAATCTAAAAAAGAAAACTTACTATCTGTCATATGACATACAAAAAAATTGTTGTTAATTCTTCCAATATTCTTATTGGAGAGTTACAGCCACTTTTGGTGTCTGCATTTTTTAATTGAGATATAATTCACATGTAACATATTAATTTCAGGTGTACAACACAATGATTCAATATATGTATATACTGTATTGCAAAATGATTGCCACAATCAGTCTAGTTAACATCCAGCACCACATAGAGTTATTTTTTTTTCTTGTGACGGGAACATTTAAGATCTACTGTTAGCAACTTTCAAACATATAATACAGTATTATTAACAACAGTCACCACGTTGCACATTACATTCCAGGACTTATTTATTTTACAACTGGAAGTTTGCACCTTTTGACCACCTTCACCCATTTCACCCACCCCCGACCCCTCACCTGCTGTCCGCATTTTTAAAGAATGTAACAAAAACTAGAGAAGACATCAAAAAGTACTGACCAAACTTTCTTAATAATAAAAAAAAAACATTTTTCAGTAAATAAGAGCTATCTGTAAAGTTGTTTTCAGCCCTATTAGATTGCTTTGTCTACAAATAGACAAACATGAGTATAATTTAAAACTGCAAGCAGTTTTTAAGAAGTTCAAAGCATTAAGCTCAACTAAGAATCTTAGTAGGGAAAATAAGCTTAAAAATAGGCACAGATATATAACAATTCCCATTATGTTTACTGGAAGCCGTAAGCTAAAACACACCACCATCAGAGAGACCAGACCTTCACACTCCAAGGCAGTCAAGACCTTGAGAGCTAAGCTGGAAAGTGGAACCCCCTCAGGAAGCAGGATACCAACTACAGGACTTCCTGAAATCCACCTGTAAGATTCAGAGTCTTCTCCCCCATCCTGGGAGAGGAAGAGCAGTAACAGCCATCTTGCCCCTCTGCTTTGCAGGCCCACAGCACTCAACCTCGCCCAGCTGAGTCACATACCTAAAATTCTAGAAGGGAATTCAAGCCCAACTCTCACAGTAGCTCATTCTTCCTGAAAATTTTTTCTCCCTTTGAGTCTTCCTGTTGAATTGGAGGTACCTCCATCACCCACTGGGACACAGAGCCCCTGCCCTCTCACTCTGGGCGTGGAAACCGTCATTGCCAGAGTGTCCTGCGACTTCAAGTAGCAGTTGAGCATTACATACACTCTGATTACAAGTAAACAATACTTAAAAAACATGGATATGAAATAAATAAATAAATATGAATATGAAAAAGACCGAAACAAAATACAGAAAAACTTTACACGTTATTACATTGTTTTTATATTTAATCACTTTTAAAGGTCTCATTTTCCAAAGCCTATACTACAAATGTCACAGGTATTTCCCACATATTTGTTTACAGTCACTAAAAGGAAAATGGAACAGTCCTCTCCAGCACTAACTATTCCCATTATCTACAAAGTGAAAGAGGACACACTGCATTTGCAGCAGCAAACAAAATCACTGATTTTCTTAAGTCTCAACAAAATATCCCAAAACATACTGTGATAGGCAGAATAACAATTCCCAAAGATGTCCACATCCTAATCTATGGAACCTGTGATTCGGTTATTTTACATGGCAAAAGGGACTTTGCAGATGTAATTAAGTTAAGGACCTTAAGTTGAGGGAAAGTACCCTGAATTACCCAGGTGTGCCTGATCTAATCACATGGGTCCTTAAAAGTGGAGAACCTTTTCCAGCTGTGGTCAGATGGACTACAGAACAGCCAGAGAGATGCAATGCTGCTGGTTTTGAAGATGGAGGAAGGGGGTCACAAGCCAAGGAATGTGGCGGCCCCTAAAAGCTGGAAGAGGCAAGGAAACAGATTCTCCCCTGGAAACTTCCCAAAAGGAACGCAGGCTTGACACACTGATTTTAGCCCAGTGAGACCCATTTCGGACTTCTAAAATACAGAACTTTTAAAGAATAAGTCTGTATTGTTTTAAGCCATTAAATTTGTGGTGATTTGTTGCAGTAGTCATAGAAAACTAATACACACACATTAAACAACTAACAATATGTGAAATCATCTGGAGAGAAACATAATCAAATTGCCCAAATACTTAGAGCAGTATGAGATATAAGTTATTTGTGCATTTTGTGTTATATTTCACTTCTATTTTTCTCCTGCCCTCACAAAACTCCATCCATTAAAGAGATAGCCAAAGTGACAATTCTTCAAGCATTCTGCAAAAGGATGAACCATATTAACCAAGAAAATGGAACAGTCAGGACAACAGGATTAACTGGAAAAATCAGGAAACAAACTGTATTTTTCAGGAAGTCAAACATCAAAATGTTTGCACTGCTTCTTCAGTATCAAATGGATACCACATTTTAAAAAATAAGTCCTTCTAGATATAAAGAGCTTATTATTAATTTTTTAGGTGTGACAATCATATTGTGGGTATATTAAAAAGAGAGTGACTCAATCTTCCAGAGACATATACTCAAATATTTACAAATGAAATGGAGTTGGGAATAGGAATTCAGGGCCATAGATGAAACTAAATTAGCCTGAGTTACTGATTGTTAGAGCCGGGTAATGGGTACGTGGGGGTATATTACATTATCCCGGGTTGAGCTTTTCCAAATTTAAAAGTTACAAAAACAAAGTTCTCGACCTACTTATAATAAAATAGATTTCTTAATATATTTAATAGTTGAAACTCCTTCCTGTAACATTGACCCATCTCAATTTTCTGCCACTTAATCCACGTGCATCCATTCTTTCATTCCCACTCATTCTGCCCTGTTTACTAACCTAATGAGCTTCAGGAAGTCACCTAACAGCTAAAAGGTTGATTCTTCATCTGCAGAATGGGAATAGTTATACTTGCCCAGTCTGTCTCTGAGTTGCAGAGAAAATTATCTAAGATAAACAATACAAAGCAGGATAACCATTCAAGAAATCTACATTATTCATAACTTCCATGCTCAGCAGCCACCATTCACCTATTACTATAGATCCCCTTCCCTTCCACCTCCAGTTCCTCTCTCGAGCCCTCAATTCATCATCCCAAAGCCAGGGTCCCTCTGAAAGGGTACACTCCTCTCCACTGCCTCCACACACACACCGGTGTTTTCATATCTTTCAGCACCTTCTCTCTACACATCTCTCCCTCCAGCTTTCAAGGATCCTGCTCAGTCTGCCCCCCTAGCGAGTCTATCCTGTGTACCCCTTTGCTGGCCCTATTACAATCATCCCATCCCTTCTATTTCAGTACTTTCATCCTATCAGCTTTATTAACTCACTACTGTTCACAAACACCCGATCTAACTTCCCACCCTCTCGCCTTTCAGTTAAAACACAATCGCTACTTGCCAGGAAGTGGAGAATAAGGAGTGACTTCTAATGGGTATAGTTTTCTTTTTTGGGTGATAAAGATGTTCTTAAATTAGACAGTTGCACAACCCTGTGAAAATGCTTTTAAAAAACACTGAGTTAAAAAAAAGAACAAAAAACCACTGCGTTATACTTTAATTGTACTTTTAAAGGGTGAATTTTGTGGTATGTCAATTACATCTCAATGAAAATTTGTATGTCAAAAAAACAATCAACATTATTGCTCACCTTGCCCATCACACGCCCACTTGTCACATCAACCCCATCTCCCGAAGCATCGACTTGCTCTTCGGTATCCCCCCCGCCACGACCAACTCCCAACACCAGACTCGGACTGAGGCCCCTCTCACTCTCTTGATTAGCACATCCCCTCACTTCCCGGCTCTAAGTGCCACTGAATCCTGGAAGTGGGGGGCAGCTCTCGTGGCCCCGTCCCCCGCTGGCAGAAGGGACCCATCTGCCCGGGGGAGGGGAGGGTGTCCCCAAACCCGCTCTGACAAGGGGCGGGGGCCCCGCCCGGCTCCCAGGGCCGCGCTGCCAGGGGCGACGCCACAGCCCACCTGTCTCAGCCGGCGGAGAGATCCGCTTCCAGCTCACGGACGGACGAACGGGTGGCAGAGGGGACAGAACAAGCCGCGGTCGCCGCCGCAGCCGGGTTGGCGCACACCGGCTCAGGCGTCCATGTTTCCACGTCTCTGCGGCTCCGGCTCCGACTCCGACTCCGGCTCGGCTCCCGCCCGGACAGCGTCAGTGCGGAGGCCCAGGGGCGGGGAGAGCAGAGGGAAGCTACGGAGAACGCCCGGGGTACCGAAAGCCCCGGCGCGCTCTAGCCGGCGGTCACGTGGCGTGCGGCGCGCGGACTTCTGGGAAATGAAGTGCTTCCGGCGTTCAGCGTTTCTCCACTCTCCTGCGCTTCCAGGGCAACCGCAAAGCCGCGTGGCAAAACTGAGAAGCTGATAAATCTTACCTTCGTGCTGCAGTCCTGGCTTACCCTACAGCACTTGTTCTGGTAACTTAACTTCATTAAGGCTCCTGTTCATTCCAGCACAATAATCACCCCAAAGTCAGGCAGTTCCTTGTAGGACTCTAAAGAATTGGGAAATAGGAAAATAAAGTTTGATGGAGGCAGAATAGCAGATCTAGAATTGCCTGCAATACTGTCAGAAAGGACAGGTCCAACAGGAAAGAGTGTCAATGTGGTGTAGTGGCAAAAGTATGGAATTTAAAGTCAAATGAGCTGAGGTTACCAGATTGACGTCCTTGGGTCCTTATTTCACCTCTCCAGCCAGTTTCCTCATCTAAAATACATGTACGGGATCATGATGATACTAACCATACAGGACTATTAACGACGTCAGTAATAATAACTCACATTATGGGTTGTTTTCTATGTGCTATTCACTGTTACTTTATTTCTTCAAATAACGCTATGAGATAGATATCACTGTTATTTCCTTAATATGAACAGTATGTGCCAATACACTCTGAAAAGTACTATAGAGGTCTTACATATACTTTTCCAACTTTTATTGCCAACAAGTTCCCTGAACTTGCAGAATAATTACAGGAAAATATACTAAAACACAAGATACCTGAGAAGCCTAGCTAAAAATGAGGTGATAAAAATGTTCTGAAATTAGATAGTTTATGGCTATGCAGCCATTGTAAACAATGCTATGAATATGTGTTCATGATATATTGAGAGGAAATGGTATGTACAGTATTACCCATTTTCAAAAATAAATTATATTTATAATACTTATGTATATATGCCCCAAGGGGAAAAAGGCTAAAGGAATATTAGCAATTATTATCTTTGGGAAATGAGGTCATGCATGTTTTTAAAATAAATTTATTTATTTATATTTGGCTGCATTGGGTCTTCGTTGCTGCACACAGGCTTCCTCTAGCTGTGGTGAGCGGAGCCACTCTTCGTTGCTATGCGCGGGCTTCTCATTTTGGTGGCTTCTCTTGTTGCGGAGCACAGGCTCCAGGCACACGGGCTTCAGTAGTTGCAGCACGCGGGCTCAGTAGTTGTGGCTCGTGGGCTCTAGAGCGCAGGCTCAGTAGCTGTGGCACACAGGCTTAGTTGCTCTGTGGCATGTGAGATCTTCCTGGGCCGGGGCTCGAACCCTTGTCCCCTGCACTGGCAGGTGGATTCTTAACCACTGTGCCACTAGGGAAGTCCCCATGCATGATTAAAAATAGTTTTTTCCTACATGTTTTCTAATTTTTCTGCAATAAATATGAATTACATGTATAATTTTATTTTTAAATTACTATAGCGAAAAGAGAGTCAGGCACCAAATCAACCTCAAAGTACTTTTTAATTTTGCCTATACAAAAATCACACAGTCTACCTACCCCAAAGTGACCTAGCAAAAACTGTGAGCATCTCTTCAGAACTTTCTTGATAGACCAAGAAGCAACTTGTTCTACCTTGAGGCAATCCTATTTGTGAAATTTAATATTCCCTACCTTTTGTATTTTTTGCATGGCTTGAAATAAAAAGTTTCACTAGAAACCAGTGTTCCTAGGCAAATATCATAATGTTGCTAAGAAAACATCATAAATCAGAAAATAATAATAGGAATGGTTTTAACAATATGTAATGCATTAGTTGAAGTAGCAGTCCTTTGAAAACTACTTATTGTACATGTAATGTGAAAAGTATTATCCTTGGTCAGCAACTTTCAATACTGCCTGCACAAGTATCATGACAACTTTGACTTGACTACTTCAGTGTCTGGTTATTGCAGAAACACTAACAAGAAGGCCATAAACACCCTCCCACTAAATGCAATGGGGTATCTTGGATTGGATCCTGGAACCACAAAAGGCAATAGTGGGAAAACTGATGAAAGCCAGATAAAGTCTGGACTTTAGTTAAAGATATTGTACCAATGTTAATTTCCTAGTTTTGACAATTGTGTATGGTTATATAAGATATTAACATTTAAGGAAACTAGGAGGAGGATATTTGGGAACTGTCTGTACCTTGCAACTCTTCTGTAAATTTAAAATTATTCCCTCTGGCAGGCCGAATAATGGCCACCCTGAAGATGTCCACATCCTAATCCCCCAAGACCTATGAATATATTAGTTTACATGGCAAAGAGGAATTAAGGTTGCAGATGGCATTAAGGTCACTAATCAGATGACCTTAAAATGGGGAGATTATCCCCAGTTATCTGGGTGGGCCCGATGTAACCACAAAAGTAAAAAGTGAGAGGGAGGCAGAAAACATCAGTCATAAATATGGCTCTAGCAGAAGATCAAGTGATTCAATGTGAGAACCAGGCATTACTGGCTTTGGAAACATTATCTGCTAGAGCCTTCAGAAAGGAACACAGTCTTGCTGATACCCTCATTTTAGCTCAGTGAGACTGAGTCAGACTCTCACCCACAGAGCTATAAGACAATAAATTTGTGTTGTTTTAAGCCACTAAATATGTGGTAATTTTTTGTAGTAGTAATGGAAAACGAATACATTCAAAAATTAAAATGTGTAGGGACCTCCCTGGTGGCTCAGTGGTTAAGAATCTGTCTGCCAATGCAGGGGATACGGGTTCGAGCCCTGGTCCAGGAAGATCCCACATGCCGCAGAGCAACTAAGCCCATGCACCACAACTACTGAGCCTGTGCTCTAGAGCCCACGAGCTATAACTACTGAGCCCACACTCCGCAACTACTGAAGCACGCGCACTCTAGGGCCTGTATGCCACAACTACTGAGCCTGCGTGCTGCAACTACTGAAACCCGCGTGCCTAGAGCCTGTGCTCCACAGTAAGAGAAGCCACCGCAATTAGAAACCTGCGCACCGCAATGAAGAGTAGCCCCCACTCACAACTAGAGAAAGCCCACACGCAGCAACGAAGACCCAACGCAGCCAAAAAAACAAAAAAAAGGTATAATTAAAAACAAAACTTCCAAATGGCTACCTGTCTTGCCAACACATTCCCAATCTGGGACTGTACAAATATCCATGCTACTTAGAAAGAAACTGTAAACCAGAAAATGCACAAAAAATTATACTTCACTTCCCAGCTCATTTTGGTTAGACTATTATAAAAACCAGCTGTATCTGGAAACATGTTGAGTTCCATAGGAAAGTCATTCAAGCAATGAAGTGTCAAGTGAGTCATTGGAAACAGTCTGGTATCTGAAATTGCAGTCCTGCGTAGCCTCATCCTCCTCACTACTCAGTGACTTTCCAGCAAGGTACTTAAAACAAGGACTGGTGCTTCTGATTTAGGATGTCCATTTGGTTCATTCATTCACTTATTCCACTAATATTTACTTAGCAATTTTGTGTGCACTGTGCCTCAGAGCTGGGCCTGACCTCAAGAAGCTGAAGGTCTAGAAGAGGAAACAGGCATTATACAATTAAAAACTGGGTTAAATTGCCACGAAGAACAAGAACAGTCAGCACAACCTGGTATCCAGCCCCAAGGAAACAGCTTTTCAAGAAATAAATGGTGAAAAATTAACCATTTTCTGGATGAGCAGGGCCAGTATTTTCAACATCTTAATAATAAAATTTATACCTGCAAAATTGAAATTTCCTTTAGGGTTAAAACAAAGAAACAAATAGAACTGAACTAAATCAACAAAAAATTATTCCAGAGGTGCTAAATGCCACCGTGACCCCTCAGTAATAAATGGTTCCCAATGCGATCAAATGGCCTCGGCTATGGAATAATGGAAATTTTACTAGGTTTACCCAGAGAATGAAATACACTGCAAGTCTCTGAATGAGATTATTGTTTCTGATTTTCTCTGAGGTTCTAAACATAATTCCCTCCCTCCATCTCCATAAATCAGACCATGTCCCCCATCTGCTTAAAGACTTCCAGTGGCTTCTCACTTCATTCAGTATTAAAGCCAATGGTATTAAAATGGCCTGCAAAGCCCTACAATATGCCTCAATCCCAAAGCCATCCCACCACTATAATCTCATCTCCACTTGTGGCTATTTCACTGTCAGACCTAATTGGAATGGCCTCCTTGCAGCTGCTCCAAGCACGCTCCCAGCTCAGGGCCTTAGGTACCTACTGTTGCCTCTGCTTGGACCACTCTTTTCCCTATTTTTAGTAGTGAATATTTTATTGCGTGCCCTGTAAATGCCGCACATGGATCTAGGCACTGGCATGTTATAGATCAACTGTATTATTTATTGCTTTCAAGGAGCTTACATTCTGGTGGAAGAAGACAATTAAAAAGTAAAACAAATTATAATTAACTTAGACCACTTCTCCTTATCTCCTCCAAGACTCTGGTCAAATGTGATATTATCAAGCCTTTCCTTGTTCGCCCTGCATAAAATAGCAACACCTCCCCACCCTCACCTCCTGTCCCCAGACTCCAGCACTCTCCATCCTTTCCCCTCCTTCATCTTCCTACAGGGCTTTTAATCACCCCTCCACACATTGTATAGTCATCTGTTTATTTGTCTCCTTGCTAGTAGAATGTGAATTCCCTAAAGAAGGGGTTTTTTGTTTATTGGCATAGCCCAAGGCTCCCATAGGCACGTAGTAAACATTTTTTGAATAAATAATAAACCATTTCACCAGGTATTATGGATTGAATTATTCTCCCCCATCAAAAAAAAATGCATATAGTGAAGTTCTAACTCCCAGTACCTTAGAATGTGACCTTATTTGGAGATACGGTCTTTATAGAGGCGATCAAATTAAAATGAAGTCATTAGAATGGGTCCTAATCCAACATGACATGTGCCCTTATAAAAGAGGGAGATTTACAAACAGACATATACAGGGAGAATGCCATGTGAAGATGAGGGCAGACGTCAGAGTTATGCATCTACAAGCCAAGGA